TACTTTTGTCTCAAATTGCATTTGCTAAGGTCCTATCCCCTTTTCCAACCTATCTTCTGTCCCCTTCTTTCCCCTCAACAAAGCCTTCCCAAAGACTACACAGGGTTCAATTCCCTTAGGTGTATTTATTTTAATGACCATCATAAGAAATGCAACCCTGAGAGATTCTTTTTAAAAAGAACTTAGATCTCATATAAAAAAAAAAGAATAGGGGTTGGATCCTGCCACTTGATCCTGGAACTTTGGGCATCCTTTATATAAAGATTGAAAAATGAATGGTCCCAGCACAGGACTGCCAGTCCAAGGTCATGTGGGAATGAGTACCACATAGCAAAGGACAGAGATCAAGAGGCAGAGCACTGAGCAGGTGGGGAAGAGGATAGATGGGGAATTCCCTGCAGACTTCAGGTACCAGGAGACCTTTAGTTTATTCTAACATCTATGGGAAGTCATCAGAAGGGAGCTTATACTCTCTATGATAGAAAAAAATCTGAAGACTACAAGCCACAGAAAAACATGCTCTGATGGACATTTGCAGCAACTCACTCTAACTCTTCTATGGACAACAAGCATAGTGTCCAGAAATTTTAAAATTCTAAGCAAATGAAAGCTATTGGTAGGTCAATGGCTACTCATAAAACTAAGGCAAACAATAAAAATCAACCTATTCATGCCATAGAAAGACAAAAAAGCAAATGAAGAGCTTCCCTGGGGTTGTTTCTCAAGTAGTATACTGATATGTGCTTCCTTGGTTATTCATGATGATGAATAAAAGTTCAGAACCTGGTCCTGAGAACCTACTCAACAAAATATTACTCCTGTCCTATTTGACTCCACAAATAAAACTTAGTGGACAAGTACAGAATCAGAATTCAATAAGGCTAAAAATTCTGGGTCAAAGCTAAAAATTAAAATGGAAAATTAAAGTTATTGTCTTTACCAGCTTGATGTTCTGCTGTGACAATTTCAGACACATACTCATTTCGACGCATTTTATATCCATATTCCCCTAAAACAGAATATGGTTTGGTGTCTTGGTGTCTGGTACTGATGATCTTTCATTGCAAACTAAGCACTCTTTAATGAGTGCCTCTTAAAATTAAATGAGTGCCTCTCTCCATTCAGCTAATGAAAACCCTAACCTCTTTCCTGACCACACCATCATAATCCTATTTCCACTGCCCTTGTGTTTTTATAAGCTATCAGTTTGCATTTGTGCCCTGAAATTCTTGAACATTTTTATGTAATTCTCCATCTTTTGATGGGCAGATCTATTTTCTGCTATCTTTAATGAAATTTTGAAAGATGGGGTAATATAATAGTTATGTTCATGAGATTTACATTTGTTTCTTTTTTATAAAAGAGCTCTTTAGATGCTGCATTTTTCAGAGTCACTAGAATTGTGATCATATAGTGTTAAACTCAGTCATTCTAATCTCAGCTCTCCAGAAACACTTGGGCCAAAAGGTGTCTCATTATTTTGACAGCTGTCCACATTTCTTATCTAGCTATTTTTCTTAATCCTAGTTGCTTGTTTTCATCGTAGCTGAAAAATTAAATTGGTTATGAATTATTGAAAAGAAGGGGCCAGCTAGGATTCATTTAAAAGCAAATAATTACTACTTCAAGAAGATCGCAAGATATGATGATTTATACAGTCCCTTCTTTTTTTTAGAAGAAAGCATTTCTACTGCTGTGTACCTTGTGTCCCAGAGAATGTTCAGAATATGTATTTTTTGAGTAAACATTCAATTCTCTCCAGATCTGTCTACATACAGTTTCTATGACTTTTAATACTTCACATAATAGTTCCCAAAATAATAAAATTTTAAACTACAGTTCAAAAATTATTCCAAAGCTACATATTACCCATTAGTAGCTGTAAAGGAGACTGTATTCTTATCTAAAAGCTGACAATAGTTGGCTTTCTTACCTTAAATTTTCTTTGGGGGAAAAGGGCCATACCCAGCAGTGCTCAGGGCTTACTCCTGGCTCTGTGCTAAGGGCTTTGTTCTGGAGGTGCACGAGGAATTATATAAGGTGCCATAGATTAATCCCAGGTTGATCACTTGCAAGGCAAATTCCTAATTGCCTTAACCTTTGTACTGTTTCTCTAGCCCACCTTAGATTTTCTTAACCCCATGGATCTTAAACACAAGTGGGTAACAGAATCATCTGGAGAACTTAATAGATATAGAAATGCTCAGTCACCAACCTGCTTTAATGAACTTATCTTTTATGTACTGTAATAGTGCTCTTTTATTGAGACACTCACTAAAGTTTGTGACTCGCAAATTTAATACCTCTAAAAAGTATATATTATCATTTTGCGTTTTGAAAGAACCAAAGGAAATAAGCTTTAGACACGGAAATTGCAGGAAATAAGCTGAAGAGATAGTATAGTGAGTAAGAAACTTGCCTTGTATGTAGCCAACCTGGGTTCCATAACTAGCACAATATTTGATCCCCCAAATCCACCAAAAGTGATTCCTGAGTGCAGAGGCAAGAGTAAGTGGAAGGAGGGAGGGAAGGAGGGAGGGAGGGAAGGAAGGAAGGAGGGAGGGAGGGAAGGCAGACAGACCTGAAAACTATTATCACCAAGCAAATATAGGTGAAAGTAACTTTTATGCCCCTCCCACTCATCCCCATTTCTTGGGAGAATAAGAACCAAATATACTTAAATGATTCTCTGTGGAGTTTTCTTATGACTGAACCAGGTGTTCCTGGACCACAAGTTTCCAAGCAACATTTCAACCGATAAAACTATAAATTTAGCAATTGAATATAATTATTATGAATACCATTACAGGTGGTAATTTTGAGCTCATAATGACTTCACATGAATGAATAAAGTCCATTCCAAACCATCTCAGCTATATTCCTATAAAAAAAAGGAAGGCAATATTACCCTAGCTTCACCCCTAAAATAACCTCCGTTGCTTTAAAGAGACCCCACTTACATTCTCTAAGGGGCACAATGAGAAAGTAAGGCTGAGCTTTAAGGAAGGAATGTCCCTTGGGAGTAGGGTTCCTTTCAACATCCTCATCTAGAGAACAGTAATGACCCAATTTGGTTGTATTTTTTTCATTTCTATTCTTGCATGGGAATTAATAATAAATTTTAGGAATTTCTGTAGAAAATTCAAATGTGGGAAGCTTTAAAAGCTAATATGAAAACTTAAACATCACTTAAGATGAATAAAGGTAAAGGTAAAGGTAAAGGCCCTCCCGTTGATCGTCGATTTGCTCGAGCGGGCCCAGTAACGTCTCCATTGGAGACTTTGTTGTTACTGTGTCTGGCATATCGAATACTCTCGGTAGCTTGCCGGACTCTCTGGGATGTAATTTGCTAAGATTTTAGAGAATCTTTGAAAACAAAGTAAACATCATAGAACATGCTTTGCTGAGAAGGCTTTCATAACTTTACAAATAAAATTAATCTCTTCAACCCACAATTAATTTTTATGTTCAATAACTTTATGTTTAGCTCATGAAAACCTTAAACCCTCATCAATAATAGGTATTCAAATGGGTTCTTCATAGCTATGTTTGGTATGAAATGCAATGTAAACTTTCAATATATTACTCTATTTTCCCTCCAGATATAAGGAGAAAAAGTACCTTTAATTGTAACAATAGTTGGCATAGTTAATTCAGAAACCACTGAATAAAGCCATATAAATTCACAGGAAAAAGAACCAATGTCTGTTTCAACTTATCTGATACACCCACCATAGTCCTTTGCATAGATGAATTTTCAGAGCTTCTTTCTAAATAAGATCAAGTCATGTAGCCAAAAACTATTACATGGCCTGGTTTATTTAAAAGAATATTGCTTACAAACAAAGTTAGAATATTCAAACCAAGCATTTCCTCTAACTGTCACAAAGAGATCATGTGTCAATTATTATTTTATTATTATAATTGTTCACAATCTTCTTCTGAAGTAGAAATAAAATGTGTGCATATTGGAATTTTCACATAGTAACCAGAAGAACAAGAAGCATAAATATCTTTCAGAAGTGAAGAGAGAAAATTATATGTTTAGAGAATTTAGCTTCACCTGTCTCAACTGAAGGCATTAGCTTAATGGAGGGTGTTTATGGAAAGAACTTTCAGCCCTTGGATTAAATAATTTCAAATTTATTTTTAATGTTTGAGAAGCAGTCTAAGATTTCCACTAACTTGCATTGATAAGAGTGGACTTGTCTTTCAAAGATCAACATCTATAGCACTTGAATCATTTTAGCATAAAATAAATTATATTTACAAGTTTGTATTTATTTTATGAATTATTTCTATATTACATTCTTTCAATTCCACTACATGATCACTTTTTTTTTTGCCCTTACAACTAAATTGTTTTCTGTTTTTCTTCATCTGATCTTATTGACCATTTGGAACTACATTGTGTGCTTTACAAAATTTCTCTCGGAAAATCTGGTCTCTTTTTTATATATCCTTGGTGGGTAGAGGCCAGTAATACTAGAGTTGCTACTCCCCTGTATAGCCACGTGAGGGTCCCCACTTAAGTAACAGGGTGCCCATCAGGTCAGCGAGTGATAAAGCCCAAGTCAAACAAGGCTGAATCCTGAATATTTTATGTCCTGAGAATCTGAAAAGTGCTCATGGCCAGCGCTGACCCCCAAGACCTCAAATGGTCACCTAAGCAGCAACATAAATTCATGTTGAACTAGCTCCTGGGTCACTGCCATGGCAGAGAGACAGGCAAAAGCACAGCCTTCCCACGGAGGAACTCATGCCTTTCTAGACAATAAAAACAGGGGAGAATGTGTTCATTACTCTGGCAGAAAATTCAACAGTGGTGGCTAAATGCCCGAGGCTGACACATTCTGCATCTTATCACTGCCTTCAAGTGGAGGTTCATATGAATATTGTCAGTCCCAAAGAATTGAGAAACAACTTGCCTTTCAAAACTCAGCATCTCAAAGTCTTGACAATGCCAACAGTTCATCATCTCGTGTTTTTTAAACTTCCAGAAAATGGCCTTCCAGCCTGGGACAAACCGAAGCACTGTCCAGACCGAGACCACGACTGGAAGCTAGTAGGAATGTCTGGAGCCTGCCTACGCAGGAAGAGCCATGCGGAGAGGCACAGCCCATTGAAGAATGAACAGTCATCACCGCATCTCATCCAGGCCACTTGGACCAGCTCGATATTCCATCTGGACCATGACGATGTGAATGATCAGAGTGTCCCGGGTGCCCAAACCTTCCAAACGGAAGAGAAGAAATGTAAAGGTAACCAGATTTTTATTTGACTAATCGAGTGTTTCAATAAGGAAAACCATTCTTGGAGCTGTGTTTGGTCTCCATTGATTCTATTGTAGAGCGTGTGTGTGTGTGTTTTCTCTATACTATTACAATGTGTTGTATGGTGTTTTGTTTTATTTTGGGTTTGCATCTTCTTTTAAGATTAACAAAAATAATGGAATCCAAAGGAAACCAGTTCATGTCGGTCTTGGGGTTGTGTTGGGGTTCTTAGGGAAAAGGACATTTTTATTTCTCCAATAAAGTTTGGAAAGTTTGTTGGAAAGTTTGGGAGTGCATGATTTAGTTCCATTTTTGAATCTGAGTATAAACAGATTGCTGTCATTATGTAAATACTTGCTTTAATGTTTGTGTGTGCATATCTTTTCCACTATGCCAGTAGCTAATGGGATCCCAAAACTTACCTTTATCCTAACTCCTTTTTTAAGCAATTGATGCTTTAGAAAGAGGCCTTAAGTTGTTTTCTCTTATTACTTAAATCCTGTGCCATCATCCTGAAAGGTGAGATTATGGTATTAGGAGGTTGTCACTTCACTTTAATAAAAAAAAAAAAGTTAAATGGAACTAAGTTCCTGATAGCATTAGGTTTAACTGGTCTTCACCTCACGTTGCCTCCACCCTAACAGATGTCCAGTGCTGATCACTTTATTGTCTTAAGGCTCCTCCAAATGTTTTCTTCTTATAAGTCAGTGTGTGTTTTTTAAGTGTCCAAGTAGTCGGTTTGCATATTTCAATGCTCAAATTCACGTATTTCCATTCATTTTTAATTTGCCACTAAATTATTTGTTTTTCCTTTTCGTATTATGACTCATGATCAAGTTTTACCTTATGTACTTAAAAAAAACTATATTAATGATCACATACCAAAATATACCAATGAAAGTTTGCAAATACCTATATATCAGTCATGAAGGACTTTTGCAGACTGTTCTACCTTGAACATATTAACTTTATTGTATTTATCCCTCTCAAATAGAGCTTGTCTTTGCTAGAAGTACTTGACCGAGAAAATGAGTGCATAGATTGCTTCCACTGAAAATGGGATCACATAAATATAATTGTGAAATAGTGGTCTGAGCGGTGATTTGCGCATATGCAAATTTGCATGTTCTCTTCTGCAAATTTTTTTTTGAATTCTCATCTTTATTATCGAGAGGAATTGAAAAAACTCAAATGAAATATTTAGGGGAAAAAACAAATTTCTTTGAAGGAGACAAGATATAGAACAGACATGTCTGTGTGCATGTGCACATTTGTTTGAAACATAGCTGAGATTCAACCTTAAAATTTGTCAGAAGTTAAATCACTCAAAATTTATAAGCTTATATGAAACCATGTTCTTCCTTGATTTATAGTGAAATGCCAAAGGAAACTATGGTGTCATGAACATCACGAACTAAATTTGATTTATTCACAGTTGATGTACATATTCATTCATTCATTTGCGTATTAGTCATCCACAGTTCACCTATGTGCCTATTATTTATGAGAAACTTTGATCAGGTATCTAGAGTTCACAACACTGCACACTTTCCAGTGTACTGATACATCATAAAAGAAAAGGAAAGAGTTTTGTTTTTTGTTTTTATTTTTTAAATTTTATTGAATCACCATGGGATAGATATAAGCTTTCATGTTTGGGTTACAATCACACAATGATCAAATACCCATCCCTCTACCAGTGCGCATTCCCCACCACCAATATCCCCAGTATAACTCCCCTTTCTCACCCTCCCTCTGCCTCCATGGCAGATATGATTCCCCATAATCTCTCTCTACTTTTGGAAATTATGGTTTGCAATACAGACCCTGAGAGGCCATCATGTTTGGTCCCTTATCTACTTTTTGCACACATCTCCCATCCTGACCGATTCCTCCAGCCATCTTTTTCTTAATGATCCCTTCTCTATTCCAGCTGCCTTCTCCTCTTTGCTCATGAAGCAGGCTTCCAGCTATGAAGCAATATATCTGTCCCGTGTATCTACTATTCTTAGGTGTCAGCCCCATGTTATTTTTTTATACTCCACAAATTAGTGCAGTCCTTCTATATCTGTCCCTCTTTCTGACTCATTTCACTTAGCATGATACTCTCCATGTCTAGCCATTTATAAGCAAATTTCATGACTTCATCTCTCCTGACAGCTGCATAGTATTCCATTGTGTAGATATACCAAGTTTCGTTAACCAGTCATCTGTTCTAGGGCTCCTGGGTTGTTTTCAGATTTTGGCTATTGTGAAGAGTTCCTCAGTGAACATCTAGGTACAGATGTCATTTCTACTGTGCTTTTTTGCATCCTCTGAATATATTCCCAGAAGTGGTATTGTGGGGTCATATGAAAGCTCAATTTCTAGTTTTTGAAGGACTGTTCATATTGTTTTCCAGAAAGACTGGACCAGTCAACATCCCCACATCCATGTCAGCACTGATTGCTTTTGTTCTTTTGAATGTGTGCCAGTCTTTGTTGTTTTGATTTGCATCTCCCTGATGGCTAGCGATGTGGAGCATTTTTTCATTTGCCTTTTGGTTTTTATTTCTTTTCTGAGGAAGCTTCTGTTCATTTCTTCTCCCCATTTTTTGATGGGGTTGGAGGGTTTTTTCTTGTACAATTCTACTAGTATCTTGTATATCCTGGATATTAATCCCTTATCCGATGGGCATTGGGTAAATATTCTTGGAAAAGGAAAGAATTTTTAATTGGGATCTAAGACCTAGTTAAAGTTAACAACTGCCTTTAGCAGTAGTTAAAACAGTATATTTTTAAGTAAATGTTTCTGATTTTTGTTTTCCTTTAAAACAAAACACAAATGTAATGCATAATGCATTAAAATATTGCACATTAAAAACCAATTTTCACGCATACTAAAATCATAATTTTTTTCTTTTTGGGTCGCACCTGGCAATGCTCAGGGGTTACTTCTGGTTTATGCACTCAGGAATTACTCCTGGCAGTGCTCGGGGGACCATATGGGATGCTTGAAATCGAACCCAGGTCGGTTGCGTGCAAGGCAAATGCCCTACCCGCTGTGCTATTGCTCCAGCCCCTAAAATCATACATTTTTGACTCTGACTTTTTGAGACTTGAATCCTAGCTCTTTTGCTTTATGTCCTTGAGCAAACTAAGGTGATTCTTGATAGAATTAAAAAAGATAATGTATTTAAGTATCTAGTCTTGTAATTCTCATCTAGTGCTCTCTAAATAGCAGCTTTTATTATTACTATGATCATCATTATTAGTTACACCCTGTTAAATCACAAAACTTTGTTGGACTCTGCTATGTGCCTAGTAAGAATTAGAAAAGGGGAAGAGAACAGTTCAGTGAATTGAGTGTATGATGTCTCAGGAATAACTAAAGTTGAAAAGTCACCCATTCAACTCTTTTGTGAAAGTAAAACAATAAACAAGAAAATGCAATTTTATTAATAAATTAAGATTCTCAAAATTCGAGTATTATCTTTTTGTTTTGTTTTGAAGTAAAAAAGGAGAGAAACATATTCAAGTAGACTATGAGCTTCTTAAGAGGGAAGAGAGCTGAGAGGACCCCATTAAGTAGAAGAAAGGATCTCAAGTTGGGAGGAGGCAACCCCAGAATGGGGGTGTATCTCAAAATTTTCTTTTCAAAAAGAAAAGGGCTGAAGCAATTCTCTTGTGGTTTCCAGAGTAACCACCCCAGTGTGGAGGTGAAGTAGTACCTTCTTTCAGTGTGAAAATGCCATCTGGGAGGCTACTTTATCAAGTTCTAAAGAATTTATAAACTAAATTTTGTCCATTTGTGTTGACACCTGTGTTTAGTGAGGCACCAGTGCAGGTAAACAGTGTGTCCATTTGCTCATTTCTTTGGGGTGTAGGTTCTCTCCATCTTTGTCATCTGCTACCTCTATATAGTAACTCTAAAGAGAATTCTATTTAATTGTTCATATATACATAAAATAAATATCTATATTTCTGACTATCTCTGTCCAACCCACACATATGCTTTATAGCTCAGTCCTGGCCCATCACTCCAGGCTCTTACCTCATCACTGTTTATCAAATGTCTTCTATGTATAGAACTTCAACCTTGATATAACAGTATGAAGAAATAACATTATGACCAAAATACTATTCAACTGGGATGAGCATGTCGCTCGGTGACACAGCACATGTCTTGCATGTGTGATGCCCTGGATTCCGTATCCAGCAACGTATGTATATAAAATATTATTTCATGTTAGGGACTCAAAATGTAAATGATAAGAACCTATTGTCTCTAAAGAACACAAAATGCATCTTCAGTGTATGAGACAAAAGGCCAAATTGAGAGCTGGGAGATGGTACTGTGGGTATAATCTTGGTACCATATGGTCTCCCTAACCTAGCCCTGGAGGCCCCGAGCACCATCAATTGTTGCCCAGCATTGCAGGGGCCAAGTCAACTGCATCCTCAGGCCCTAGCACGGAATCACCAGCCCAGTTTGAAAAATTTCATTGGACTGGCTTTTTAGGCTCTCCCGAACACATTTGAGAAGTTTCAACTACCTCTCCCCGACCAAAAGTATAAATTGGCTACTTGACATTGTACAAATAACCCTGAAACTGGAAATACTGGTGTGTACTATGGTGGCCTGTGGATGGCTATCCTCTTGTAAAGTATTACTTTCATCTCTCTCTCTATTGATGCAAATATAAAAACTGAGAGTAAGCTTTAGAAACTTAATGTTGTTATTGACATTCAATAGATTGATTCAATGGCCAGTATATTCAGTGGTCACTAGATTTATCTCACTGAAGGGGATATAGTAGACCAACTGTAAAATGTGAGACTTGCCTGCCTAGTCCCAGTGGCTAAAAATATATAAAAGTCTTGTGCAGTAAATCCAGATATTGTACCAGAATTGAACAGACATTTTTTTCAAATGATCCTCCACCTATAATAACTTTAGAATTACTGATTTGTGTTTCAGACTGAGAGCCCTGAGTTTGATTCCTGTTA